TTTGAGCATCTCCAAAAATCATAGCGTATATAACTTTCGGGATTTTAAGTAGCACTTTTGGCCTGCCCGGGTCTTATGATCTTGGATTTTGTAGTGCTAAAAGCTTCTCCCGGTTCACGAATGTTATACATACATCTTTGGTGCAGTTTTTGATTGTCGAAACATTGTATCCAGTAATTGTTTTAATCACAAAACTGTGGTTGCTGGTTTGAAATAATGAACCCATTTGCAAAAATCTGTCCTATTATTGATATCGAAAAGCAGAACTTGCGCCTATCAGTCCAATAATGTTTGTTGACTACACTTGTAGGAACTCAGGAACTTTGCTAATTTGGAGTCACATGCAGCTATTTTTCTTGAAAGCTTATTTACTTTTTGGAGTGTTCAGTTATTGTGATTTATCACCCATGCTGGTTCATAGGCGGGACCGCCTGTCATGCTCTTTTGTAACTTTTTAACAGTCTCCTTCGAACGCGGAATCATTTTCAACAATGTTCTATTCCCAAAGTTAGACGATATAGGTTTCTCTCAGTTGTTATTCTCAAGAAAATCTGCAAAATTTGATGTTTCAAAATTTACAACATTTGATACCATAGGTTTGATTTTCTATCACTTGATGAAAATTTCAAATAGTACAATGAAAACCTAGTTCCAAGTCTCCGAAAGCTGATTAATCATCGTCTTTCAAAAATTTTCTTTTGTTGGTTCCTAAGTTTTGTTCAACAACACCTCTTAAAACTCTATTGATAAATTACCAACAGTTACCTGAAACAAAATTGCTCAAATATGTCTTGGATATATACAAAATTTTAAGTATTTCAGCTCCTAAACCTCTCAAAACAACGTTGATTTTTTCAATTCTATCAAAAATATTGAGAACACGGCATAAAACTAACAAAGTAGGGCAAGCTTGCGCCTAACTTTGTTGTTACTCTTTTTATTATGTTTCAAATCTCAATCCATGTTCATATCAAAGCGAAGCCCTGAATAATCCGACTGCTCTTTAACGTCTTGAAACATCATTACGAGGCCAAACTGTGCACTGGATAGGAGCACAATTTTGTGTCTGTATGTTCCTGGATTCCAGAGACAAGTCTTTAAACATGTTAAAATTTTGTCGGAACAATCAAAGAGAAGGAAAGAACAAAAAAAGAACAAAGGGAGCGTCCTTGTTGCGGAAACCGCTCATAATGCACTAAATGCACAGTTTGGCCTCGTAATGATTTCTTTGAAAACATCATACCGAAAAAAAATGAACAAATTTTTAGCTTCAAAAAATTGGAAAAAATTGCTGGATTTTTTGAAAGAAAATCCCATCAATATGCCAAACACAAAGTGATGTTCTTAAATTCTAGTAATTTATTAGTAATACCAAATATTTCGACTCAATTCATTTGGGAATACTTTTGCGCGGATTAAACATCCGCATCCGCATACGCGTTAATAGCTCAAATTATCTCGCGCTTTTTAAATCCCAAATTGGTGAAGTTTGCTAGTTGGCTTTCAATCCCATATAACTTTCCAAAAAATGATCACAGATAAGACCTACTTTTTCAAAAATGGCTACTTAAAAAACCAAAATTGATTTTAAGAAAAAAAAACCACCCGAGCAAAAATAAATTGTTAACTTTCTTCGAAAGTTGGAACTATAAATCTTTTGCTTGATTTAGATAGAAGTTTTTGTTCCATTTTTTTTAATGGAGGGAATAATTGTGCTTGGAGTGTTTTTTCTATAGAAAAATTTCCATTTTCAACAACAAATTTTTTCAACGATTTTTTTAATGAGCACTTTCTCATTTTCATTGCCTGAGCTTATTTTTAAGAAGATATTTCAACGTGATCATTTGTTAACGAGCTATGGGGTTTCATTCCACGACATTTTTCTTTTCTTGATCTTTGTTGCTGTTTTGGATTCCACAATCAAATAGTTAAAACACTACATCTCTCAAAATTACTCCAAAACAGGCAATTATGCGGAATCTGCAACGAAGGTTGGCGAATCCAGAACTGCGAATCCAGAAGATATTTCAACGTGATCATTTGTTAACGAGCTATGGGGTTTCATTCCACGACATTTTTCTTTTCTTGATCTTTGTTGCTGTTTTGGATTCCACAATCAAATAGTTAAAACACTACATCTCTCAAAATTACTCCAAAACAGGCAATTATGCGGAATCTGCAACGAAGGTTGGCGAATCCAGAACTGTTTATAAAATGCACAAACAAAGAATAATACATGTGTTTAATAAATTAGGTTATTGCAGAATCCGCAAATTGTTATTGGAATCCTCAAATTGTAAGCAAAATACGCAAAGTGTAAGCGGAAATTTTGCAAAATCCACTCAAAATTTTCGGAGTCCTCTTGCCATTTGCCTTTTTTGCTTACAACTGCTCAATCCGGAACAACAAACTATGTTCGCTCGTTTCGGAATCCGTGAAAAAGTTAAGGTGACGAAAAAATTTACGTTACAATTTTTTTCGCGCGGAGTCCACGGAAATTTTGTAAGTGGAATCCTCTTACATTATGGGACATGTTTACAGACTTATCCCTGATTCCAGTGTCCTACAGGCAGCAATGGGTGCGCCTATCGAGTGCACGGTTTGACCTCTGTAAGTTCTTTTGTTTTCAAAACTTTATGTATGTATTTAAAGTGTACACTACTCCACAGAGCTTAAAAGACAGTTGGATCATTCTGGGCTTCGACCTGATACGAGCAGTCTTCTCTCATATAAAGTTGATTCTAAAAAGTTGCAACAGAAAAATGTGGATTTCAAGTAAGTTGGTCAAAGCTTGTCATTTGAAACTCAATCATTAATCAAATCTGTTACGGGAGAAATAGAAGAGTGTAAATTATACTGAAGTCGTCCTATAATGACATTCGTTGCCAGTTCACTTTTTGTTGGCAAAAAATAGTCATTGGTGATTCTTGGGTGATTTTCTGGGGCAACTCTTGGGTTCTTGCAACTCTCGAGGCCAAACTGTGCACTGGATAGGAGCACAATTTTGTGTCTGTATGTTCCTGGATTCCAGAGACAAGTTTTTAAACATGTTAAAATTTTGTCGGAACAATCAAAGAGAAGGAAAGAACAAAAAAAGAACAAAGGGAGCGTCCTTGTTGCGGAAACCGCTCATAATGCACTAAATGCACAGTTTGGCCTCGTAATGATTTCTTTGAAAACATCATACCGAAAAAAAATGAACAAATTTTTAGCTTCAAAAAATTGGAAAAAATTGCTGGATTTTTCGAAAGAAAATCCCATCAATATGCCAAACACAAAGTGATGTTCTTAAATTCTAGTAATTTATTAGTAATACCAAATATTTCGACTCAATTCATTTGGGAATACTTTTGCGCGGATTAAACACCCGCATCCGCATACGCGTTAATAGCTCAAATTATCTCGCGCTTTTTAAATCCCAAATTGGTGAAGTTTGCTAGTTGGCTTTCAATCCCATATAACTTTCCAAAAAATGATCACAGATAAGATCTACTTTTTCAAAAATGGCTACTTAAAAAACCAAAATTGATTTTAAGAAAAAAAAACCACCCGAGCAAAAATAAATTGTTAACTTTCTTCGAAAGTTGGAACTATAAATCTTTTGCTTGATTTAGATAGAAGTTTTTGTTCCATTTTTTTTAATGGAGGGAATAATTGTGCTTGGAGCGTTTTTTCTATAGAAAAATTTCCATTTTCAACAACAAATTTTTTCAACGATTTTTTTAATGAGCACTTTCTCATTTTCATTGCCTGAGCTTATTTTTAAGAAGATATTTCAACGTGATCATTTGTTAACGAGCTATGGGGTTTCATTCCACGACATTTTTCTTTTCTTGATCTTTGTTGCTGTTTTGGATTCCACAATCAAATAGTTAAAACACTACATCTCTCAAAATTACTCCAAAACAGGCAATTATGCGGAATCTGCAACGAAGGTTGGCGAATCCAGAACTGTTTATAAAATGCACAAACAAAGAATAATACATGTGTTTAATAAATTAGGTTATTGCAGAATCCGCAAATTGTTATTGGAATCCTCAAATTGTAAGCAAAATACGCAAAGTGTAAGCGGAAATTTTGCAAAATCCACTCAAAATTTTCGGAGTCCTCTTGCCATTTGCCTTTTTTGCTTACAACTGCTCAATCCGGAACAACAAACTATGTTCGCTCGTTTCGGAATCCGTGAAAAAGTTAAGGTGACGAAAAAATTTACGTTACAATTTTTTTCGCGCGGAGTCCACGGAAATTTTGTAAGTGGAATCCTCTTACATTATGGGACATGTTTACAGACTTATCCCTGATTCCAGTGTCCTACAGGCAGCAATGGGTGCGCCTATCGAGTGCACGGTTTGACCTCTGTAAGTTCTTTTGTTTTCAAAACTTTATGTATGTATTTAAAGTGTACACTACTCCACAGAGCTTAAAAGACAGTTGGATCATTCTGGGCTTCGACCTGATACGAGCAGTCTTCTCTCATATAAAGTTGATTCTAAAAAGTTGCAACAGAAAAATGTGGATTTCAAGTAAGTTGGTCAAAGCTTGTCATTTGAAACTCAATCATTAATCAAATCTGTTACGGGAGAAATAGAAGAGTGTAAATTATACTGAAGTCGTCCTATAATGACATTCGTTGCCAGTTCACTTTTTGTTGGCAAAAAATAGTCATTGGTGATTCTTGGGTGATTTTCTGGGGCAACTCTTGGGTTCTTCGCCGCCCTTCCCTAAAAATTTTTGTGTATTGGGGCCGAAGAGTCCTTATGAAAATTTTCGTGGTTTCAGCCAAAAACATAAAAATTAAAATAGTACAAAAAAGTGACCCTTTCTAAAAAAAAAATTGGCTGTCAGAATTGAGGGGTTACAGCACTTGGAGTTTTCACTTAATTTCAAACTGTTCCATTGACATGGCATACAAAAGCTTCAAATGACTTCAAACGAAGAAATCATTACACACATCCTTTTCACTAAAACCGTTGGCATTGTTAAATCCTTCCTTAGTTTTTACATTTCTTTGGCGGCAGATGCGGGAAAAATAAACAAACCGCTCATGAAAAATGTTAACTGATTCCTCGGTTGAAGATTCAATTTAAACATTTACTTAATCACTTTCTTCATATGTTCAAACTATTGATGGTAACAGTGCTAAAAACCAGCATTAGGCTAGCAAAATTCATAATCTCTCAAAGTATTAATATTTTACTGCTAAAAAGTTCTATTTGCGGATAGTTTTCATCGTAAATGTTATGAAGAGACCACGCCAGAACAAAAGCAACCATAGAAAAGAATTGAAACTACAGCTATATTATTTTATCGTCAATAAAAAAGACATGTGTTAGTGCTTTTTCAATTATTTTTGAAATAAGAGCTTTGAGACTAAACGCATTTCTTCGCATTTTTACAATACCAAATTGCATGCTGAAGAATCTGACTTTTATACTGTTTTGGCTGATTATTTAAAAGCTATATTGTTTTTAAGCGTTAGTCCTTCAAATAACGGAGGGTTCCAAACCCAAATGCCTCCGCTAAACCCGAAAGAATATTTACCCACCAAATAACAACAAACTAACAGTCAGCTTTGCTTATCATTGGTGTTCCTCTTTATATTTAACGATTGATCTGCAGTCAAATATTGTCCACAAAGATTCCAAAATAACATTCTTCTAATTCTTTCTGATTCTCAATCTTACAAGAAAGTATTGCAAAAATTGTTCAAGAAGTTACTTGGTTTCTAAATGAGAATATTTTAACTATCTGTTCACGAAACTATGAAGCTCGACACGGTTTCTTCACACGCCTCGGGTCGGAAATACGCGGTGAATATGGGCGAAGCAGGGGCAATATTTCGAAAGAACTACATCCAAACTATTTCTTACTGGGCGGCGTTTTTGATATTCGGGATGTGCGTTGCTGTTTTGGGTCCGACGTTGTTAGATTTGGGTTGCATTACTAAATCAACAATTACAGAAATGAGTTGGGTCATTTTTGCCCAAACTGGTTGCACACTTTTGGGGTCGGTGTCGGCTGGATACTTTTGCAACAAGTGAGTTTCAAACACACTCTGACAATATCAACAATGTTTTCAGAAAGTGGAAGAATAAATTAAATTTCCTTTTTTAAACTAGAGAATTGTTTTGATGAGTGGAGTGCTTAGGCATTTTATGAAAGGGTTGCACTTTTTTTGTAAAGGCTTAGTATTTTTACAAGCCAAAAATTTTGGAGGAAATCCGCTTTTTCAAGCACTTTTTGAAAGGTTGAAGAATTTTAGTTTTTGCTTATGGTATAAAAGTATTTCATTTAGGCAAGAAACTTTTATGATTGACAAAGAGGTGAACGAATTTTCATTTTTTTTGAAAAATTCCCACACGTGAGAAGATTGTAGATCTGCACCTGATAACGCTAAATTCAGCCAGTCTGATTTTAGAAAGTAAAACTGAATCATGAATCATTGGCACTATTTTATGACGTTAATTTTCGACCAGTAGCGTGCCGAGTGGGGAGGGGGGGAGGTGGTGGACTCGAGGTTGCCAAATTTTTCCAAAGGCTCCCCCTTTTGGTAAAACTTTACAACATCAATTTTTGGCTGAACAACCTCAAAATTTTTCTAAAAGCGCCTTTGGCACCAGTATAACTAAATTTTAGGGGGAGCACGCGCCAACATAACCGCATTTTTTAATCAAAATTTTCCAAAAATTGCCTAAAATCGCCGTCTGCGTGCGTCGCAGAAAATTCAAAAAAACGCACAAACACCCCCCGCCCCACCCTGTAGAAAAATTTCTGCACATGCAACTGTTTTCGACTTATCGAACCAAAAAGTTAAGGCGTTTTTGTTGGCGCTAGAACTTCAATTTGACGAAATGCGCTCCAAAAAACTGTGAACAAAAATGGCTTGCGTGCTGTGAAAAAAGTGTGAGGTAAAATGGCAAGCGCGTCGTGAAAAAACGTGACCAAAAATGACGGAACAACAAAACGGCAAAAATTCAATTTTTTTTGCAACAAAATTTTAACGAAAACTCTTTATTCGCCACTCAATTCAATAGTATAAGAAAACTAGCAAACTAAGCCGACAGTTTTTTGGTGGAAATAATATTGTAAGAAAATGAAATTAAACTTTTATTCCTCAGATAAAAAATACAACTATTTTTCAAAACGCTTTTTTTTCCAAAGCAATTTCCAAAGCTTGTACAATTTTCAATCAATGATCAAAAAGTTTACGTTACCAAAAAACCAATCAAAAGTTAAGCTTTTAAAAATATGATTTTTCACATGATTTTCTACGCAACTTACGCTTAAAGTAAACCACAACCAAGTCACAAGAAAATAGTTAGAGATTAGCCTGGGTAAAATTATTGTTCCGAATTTTGTAAGGAAAATAACGGAATATTTGTGCTCGGGTGGGTTTTTTTTTATTCAGGCAAATTTCGACTTTTTAACTAGCCATTTTTGACAGAGTTTTTTTAATATTTTTTAAAAGCTATTGTTGTCCTGAGCCTAAACTTAAAAAGATATTTCACCTGTGATCCTTATTTTAAAGTTATGGGGGTTTAAAGATTGCAATTCTGGCCAATTTGGGACAATTATCGAGCGATATATTTTGCGCTAATAACGCGTAAGCGGAGATTTAATCCTTCTAGAAATCGTTCCAAATTGGTTGAAGGAAGCTTATTTGCCAGAACTGATCTGTTACTAGGAGCAAAGTCTATCACTTTGTACTTAATATGGCGTGAGGGGGGATGTTTTAACAAAAAATCTCAAATTTAAATTTTTTTTATTACATTTAAAATTTTCATGTTATTACTGCTCCATGGAACTTAAAAGTCAGTCGGAACATTCATTTTGCCCTTACGAAGTTTTGCCTCGATTTTGCCCTGATACGGAGTTTCGCCCTGGCAGTTGGAGTTTTGCCCTGATACGAGCAGTCTTGTTACACTTAAAGTCTGAAAAGTTTTGTTCTTCCTTATTCTATGCTCAAAAAACGCAATGAGAAAAGGATGATGATTATACAAATTGTACTCAGTCGCATGCAGAGTAATTTTTACCATGGATGCTTCAAAAAATTTGGAAACCAATTCGTTTTCTGAACTTCTTTGAAAGTATATCCAAACCCATTTTAAAAGCAAAATTTGAAATGATACACATTTCGTTATGGGGAATTTTTGGAAGATTTTGACAAAAAAAAAACAATTTTTCGACACGTTTATTTAGATCAAGATTAGGTTCAAAAAAGCCAAATTGGGAACACTTTGGAAAAATTTTGCATCCAGAACTAGAAAAAACCGGCAGTCGCCCAACTCCTTCTCTCTTCCGAAAGCTTCGTATTGTAATCCTCCTTGACACAATATCAGTGTTTGTGAATTCGAGTTTCTTAATGATCAAAATTCGTGTCCTTCAAGCTAAAATCAAATCATTAAAGATGAAAAAATGACTAACGACCGAAACAAAACTACTCGTATCAGGCCCTGAATGTTCCGACTACCTTTTAGGTGTATGGAGCAGTAATTACATGAAAAATTAAATGTAAAAAAATTTGAATTTGAGATTTTTGCAAAAGTCATCCCGCACACGCCATATGAAGCACAAAGTGATAGATTCCGCTCCTAGTAACAAATCAATTAAGGCAAAATAAGCTTCCTTCAACCAATTGGGAACAATTTCTAGGGCGGAATAAATCTCCGCTTACGCGTCAATAGCTCGAAATATATCGCTCGTTAATTGTCCCAAATTGGCAAAAATTGCAATCTTCAAACCACCATAATTTTACCATAATTGATCACAGATAAAATGTTTTCAAATTTAAGCTTGAAATAACAACAATCGCTTTCGAATGATATAAAAAAATCCTTTCGAAAATGGCTAGTAAAAAGTCGAAATTTGTCTCGAGAAAAAAAAACCACCCGAGCACAAATATTTCGTTACTTTCGTTATGAAAGTCGGAACAAAAATAAGAATGGCTGAGTTTGAATAGAAAGAACAGAATTGTTCAAGGATATCTTTAACATCATCATGAAAATAATGAAAAAATTTGAGGAGAGAAATGTAACTTTTGTCATTTTCATTTTGACGAAGGCAAACGAAAATTTTAAAAATTAGGTGGGGCGGGAAAACTCGAAATAAATCTTCAAACTCGACAATTTTGAACTTTATTTTTTATCCTGACTTGGTTATGCCTCAAAATTGGTTTTTGTCAAGGAATAATTTTCGGAAAATCAGTTCTAGTGTTTTTTTTGTTAATAGTTTTATGGTTTGATGGATTCAGTTATCAATTTTAACGTCACAAAAAATCAGCGGCAGATTTATGTTTTCTCTAGGGAGGAGGAATTTTCAAAACAGAATATCAGTTTATTTTATTCGGCCATATTGATCTCTCTCAAATCAAAACAACTAAAAAGCTGTCGAGATGTTTCTTGCATAAGTTTTTTGTCAATTTTTTTTTAAATAAAAAAATGACATTTTGGTGGTGCGCGCTGCCCCCTCAAATAATACATTTATTAACCAAAGTTGTCCTACGCACATTTTGAAAGTTATTGAACCGAAATGATTCCAAAAAATAGTACCACAGGTACTCGCAGAATGATTAAACTGCCAGAACTAAGGGGGAGGGCTGTCACCCCACTCTTCCTTTCTACTCGGGACGCTATTGCTTGCACTCCCTAGTAAAAAAGACTTCAAATCTGTAAATTGGGTTTCTTAACATCCAAACTCTCGTCGTCCACCAAGCTAAAAACATTGCTTTTAAACTAAAAAATTGAAATTGAGAAAACATGATAAATGGTTCAGTTTAACTGGAATAGACCTAATTGAGCAAGAATGTCGTAAGACATTATCCGTAAAGTAATGATCAAAATTTGCGGGCTCAATTGTGCTTTTTCACGTTTCTTCATAATTAAGAAAGCAAATCAAAGACAGGTGAGAGCAGTACCGAACTCGGTGGGGAGGGGGGGGGGGGGGCGATTGATTTTCGTCTTCCTCAATTCTGGTTGCCAAATTTTTCCAAAGGGTCCCCCTTTTGGTATAACTTAAAAACATCCATTTTTGGCTGACCAACCTCAAAATTTTTTTCTAAATTGCCTTTGGCGCCTATATAACAAACTTTTGGGGGGAGCACGGGCCGTAAAACCGAATTTATTTGTCAAAATTTGCGTGCGGCGCAGAAAATTTATGATAAAATACGGTCCTTAAAGCTTGTTCGGAGAGTTCGGAAAACCAAATTGATCGACCAAAAAAATGATCCGCAAAATTTTCAAAAATTTGGCTCACTTTGAGGGGGGAGCGCGCGCCGAAAAAACGCAATTTTTTTGTCAAAAATCAAAATTTTGCAAAAAGTGCCCAAAAACGCTTTTTTGCCTGTTTTTCGACAAAATTTGCGTGCGGCACGAAATCTTTTTGACAAAATAGGGTCCTTCTATGTTTTCGGAGAACTGGGAACCTTTGTCAACTTAAAAAAAAGATCCGCAAAACTTTTCAAAAACTTTTCAAATCTCTCAGGGATTCGACCCCATGCCGACCCAAAAGGTCCTGAGTTATGACCTTTGGCCTGTACTCATAGAGTAATTTCAGATAAGGTACACCGTCCGTTCGTCACGCTATCTTATTTTTGGCCGGATAGATTCGTTCACCTTCTTAGTCTAATACCAATCTTAATCTTTCTCTGATATCTCCTAGTCTCAATAGATCTAGTGTTTACTGGTTTTTGCGAGTTAGTTCTTGGAGTTTATCCAGAAGGAGAAAAACTGTATTCTAAGATTCATTCAAATTGTTCTAGTGCTGAAACTACAAGTAGTTTCAGCACTTACAAATAAGTGTCAATGTTAGAGATGGATAATGATTGGTTAATTAGTACTATTTTATAGAGATAGTTTTAGCAATATTATAATTGGTTTATAAATACTAGTTTAGAACTGGTTCCAGTCCCCCCTTTGTACTATTTTGAGATATCCATTTTTGGCCGACTGTCCCTAAAATTTGTCTAAAGGCGCCTTGGGCGCCAATAAATACTCATTTTCAGGGGGGATTGCGCGCCGAAAAAACGCGATGTTTTGGTCAAAAATTTCCAAAAACGTGCCTAAGAACGCCCTTTTTGGCCTGTTTTTTTTTCAAAAGTTTGCCTGCGGCGCAGAAATTTTGGCAAAAGCAGGGTCTTCGTAGTGCTTTGGGATAGCTCAGAAAATCAATTTGGTCGACCTAAAAAAAATCCCAATTCCCCCCTTCCCCCCCTCGAGAAAATCCTAGATCCGCTCCTGATTAGGACCCTATATTGCGGATGTTGTTTCTTTATTAAAATTTTTGTTTAAAATTAGCGCTTTTTGGCGCGCGCTCCTCGCTGAAATTAGTGTACTTTGGCGTCGAAAGAGAATTGAGAAACTTTCAGGTTTGATCGACAGAAAACGAACGACGGCGTAAAATAGTAAAGTAGATAGTCATGATTTTCGAAATTTATCTTGAAAATTTCCACACATACCATATTTCTAAATGTGTGATGGATTATTTAGACTTAACCCTAATGTGATCCTTCTGTGGTCTACTATCATCATCAGCATCACCATGGCCATAGTTCCCCTGTGTCACACAAGGAAACAACTGCTGGCTGACTTCGTGGTCATGGGCCTATTCATGGGCCAGATAGACACTGTGGCCAATGTCAGACTCATCCAGATCTATGGCAATTGTGTTGCTCCTTTTCTACAGGTGAAAAAAAAAGATTTAGACTAATCAAAATCATAAAATAACTTTAAAAAAAATAAATGAAGAAAATGGAATTTCTAAAGTTTCTTTGTTTTTTTCTCTGGAAATCTTTAGAGATCGTGAAAAACCTTGAAACTTTTTGCAAAAATTTGTGAAATATTTGGCCTCTGTGACATTGGGCTGTGAAGTGAATCGGATTTAGGGGGGAGTGTAACCAATCTTCAAATTGTCGGCACCAATAGACACTAAATTCTTTGAGAGCGCACGCTTGATAATAGCGTGGGACGATAGATAATCAAGTTTGATGACCTTGACTTTCTCAGTGAAAAGCGAACAGCTGACATCCTTCGACACTAGTTGAGGGGGGCATTACGAAACACATAAATATTTCGCTGATAATCTACCATTGTCTATCAGCGCATCCATTTCTTATGCTTATATCAAATTTAGTTCATAAATTGGGTTCTCATAGTTAACAAATAACATTCCCAAATATATATCAACTGAACATAAATTTTTGCCGTGAACTTCAACGTCGTCTCTGACAAAATAGAACCTCGCTATTAAATGTTTTTTTTTCTCAAACTATGGTTTCGAATTATATTTTTTGATGCAAAAAAAAATTATTTTCCATGTCTCAGCTCTTCTTAGTTTCATCAGATTAGTCATAATGTAATGACAGAGAAACACTGAAAATCAAAAACAATACAGTTTCTATAATGCAGTGGAGTTCGGGGGAAGTCGTGCTAAACATATGAAAAATTTAGGCTCTCCATTTCGCGTACGGTTTGGGTGCATTTCTCAGTCCCGTGATAGCCGAGCCCTTTCTGAACAACGAGGACTGCACTGGTATCATCCACGATCTGGAGAATAAAAACGCTACCAGGCACGAGAGCAAGGAGCTGGAAGATGCCGCACAAGCCAGCAGGGTGGGCAGCGCCTACAGCCTTTATTCTATTGTCCAGGTGAGACTATCTGCAAAATCTCCGAATTGATATTCTGAGTTAAGTTCGAGGTGTAACTCATAGAGTAATTTCGGATAGGGTACACCGTCTGTTCGTCACGCTATCTTATTTTCGGCCGGATAGATTCGTGCAACTTCTTAGTCTAATACCGATCCTAATCTTACTCTTATATCTACTAGTCTCAGGGTGTTTAACTAGTCTCTGCTAGGCTCAATAGATCTAGATTATACTGGCTTATTGCGATTGCTAAAGTTCTCTTGGAGAGATAACTAATTTCTAAGTTAAATTCAAATCTCTCTGGTGCTGAAATTACAAGTAACTTCAGCACTTACAAATAAGTGATTTGTTAGTTAGATGGATCGTGATTGGTTAATATTAAATATTTTATAGAGATAAAGTATCCAATTTATAACCAGTAATAAATATAGTTTATATCTGGTTCCACCCATCCGGGGCTTAAAGAGTTTTGAATCTTAGATCTTCTATCTGTAATAAAGGATGGATGTTGATCGTTGTTATTTGGCGAAAATCATTTCCTGTTTTGTTCTTGGAGAAGAAAGCTCCAAGAAGTTGGAGCCATCGATAGGAAGTTGTTAGTTATCGTTTGACAAAGACTATGACTGTCAACGAAATCAATCTGATTTCAAGATGGTTTGCTATGATCTTCTGTTCTTGATTGGTTGTGGAGAACTGTGTTTCGATCTGGTTTGGGAATGGCGTGAAGATCGTGTGTGGAGGGGATGCCTTGTAACTCGGATCTGTACGTATACTTGAACATCGAGGTGGTCATTGATCTGATTCAATGAAGTCCTTTTCTGCGAAGTCAAGTTGTACTCTAAATCCTTTATGAGCCGTGATTGTGAGCGGCATGTCGGTTGTATTTAGCCATTCTGTAGGTTGAGTGTGATGGGGTCGTCTAGTCTTCAAATGCTCGTTTTTGTGGTTGTTTGTGATCTATGTACTGCATATTATAATACACATTTTTTAAAATTTTGTTAATTTTATTTTTTAGGTATGGTTTTGATTAATTGTTTTTGCAAAAGCGTTTTAGTTTTAGTTCAGTTATTTTTAAGAGTTACTCACACCTGAGTACCTCTTGTCAAAACTAGTGATGTGTTCTTAAAGCGTGGATGTAGCACGGTGGGTTAGGCCGGCTATAGAGCATGCTCAGGACGTCCTCTCTGGTGGGTTAGGCCAGGAAGGGGAGTATGATTTCGTGCTGGTTTTTTAAGGGGTCCTGTTTTGTGTTAACTTTTTATGTTATATATTTTTTTCCTTTTGTTTCGTTGTTTGTGTCCTTTTCTCAAAAATCAAATTGTTTTTGGTTTGTGTTTGTCCTGCGACTTTTTGGTGTTTTATTGTTCCTTTTTTAGACTTGGTAATAGTCTTTAAAAGAATAAATTATCCAGTTTTAAGCTGGTCTAATCCGGTTTGGGTACCGTGTGTTTTCTTTTCTTAGTCATGCTGTTTGCTTATGGTTTATGGTGTTCAGTAAGCTGCGTTGGTTAATTTGGTTATTATATAATTCCATTCGAACCGGGTTAAAGGAAAAGTGGAAACTTTTTATTACTTGTTTGAGTTGTTGTTAGTGCAAACTTAAAACTTGAATTCATTATTTTAAACATTTCTTCGTGGGCGAGCTGTGCGATTGTGGATAGAATTTCTGTGCGTTTGAACAGAAGTTATAGAAAAGGTTAGTACTGCATTTCATTGTATGAATTTACTGCTTTTAAGACAAAATTTTACTGCTTTTGGGATTAAAAAGTATAAATTGATTTTTATCGTATTTAATTTTACTACATTTGGGGAAATAATTTAGAAATGAATTTACTTCTTTGAATTAATTTTTACTGCCTTATTTAGTGCTGTTGGTTTAATAGAAATTAATATGGAAAACAAAGTTTATATATTTTTTATTTGTCTTTTCTTGTTTTGAAGGGTGATCGTGGTGTGAAGAGTAAAGAAAATGCAAATTACGGAATAAATTGGTTAGTTCTATTTTGATTTAGTTAGTTTGAAAATCATTAAATTCATAGTTACCTTTAGTCGTCGCAGAAAAAGCCGTGAGGGAAAACATCGTGAATAGCGTCTGATGTAGTTAGTAGTTTTGCTAGTATGAGTATTATATTTTTAGTTTGCAGCAGTGGCAAAGCAATTGTAGTGCTTTTATGGTTTTTAGTTCTTCGGTGCCTACTGCAAGTTCATGAGGTGTGTTCTGGATTAGATTGTAAATTTTATGAATGTATTTAGTGTTATGGATGAATACTAAAATTGGGTACTTCTATGGGTTGAATATATTCATGCGGAATGATCAGGGGTCGGGATTCCTCGTCGTTAAAGGTCTTCGTGAGGGGACAAAATATATGCATTTGAGTGACGGGATCATAACTCCGGAGGATGCCTTGGAAGTTAGTATTTTTAATGCAATACGCGAAGTTTAGAAAAAATGGTGAGCTGTATTTGGAATTAATGAATTGAAATCTGTGGTGAGGTTGTCGTGATGGTGTGTGTAAATGAAAATGGTTTTGGATAAAACGATAATAAGTATAAGTATAAGTTTGCTTAGTTCTCAACATGATGTCGTGTGAGCAGTGCAAGCCGCGTTCTTTTGGTGTCAGGAAGTGAAAGGTTAGTGAAAATGTTTGAAACTTTTCGTGAAATGATTAATAGGCTTGGATGTCTGATAGTGCTTCTGAAAAAATGTGATCATGCTTTTTATCTAGTATGTCAAGTGTGAATATGTATAATGTTTTAATAGAAAACTTTTCTGTGATTTGTAGATTAGCGAATTTATTGTCGTCCAGAAATTGATCTTGATTAGATCTGATGATGTTATGATCATAATATTCAATTGAGTAGTCGTTAGCGCGGGGTGCAGTGAATGTTTTTAGTATTTTTTTATATCCTACGTATGTAAATTGTCGGGGAGTGAGTGCTGTGGTTAATCTGACTAGTTCGTCCTTATTTTTTTCAATATCGATAGTGGTGTTATAGAGTGGTAGCGTAAGGGGGTTAGTGAAATTATAATAAGCTGTCCAATGAAGTGTGGGTATTAATACATGTTCATCTACAAAGTGACGTGGTTCAGGGTTAGGGTCGGATTGATTTAGTGTATATTGGGGAAATAAAGGTAGGGTTATTTGAAGAAAACTTGTAGTATTGGTGTGGTCTGGATGGTTAATATATTTTCGGGCGGTTCCGGGTTTGGATGGGAATGGGTGATTTGGGAATTTAGTTTTTAAAGTTCTATAAGCACGGTTAGTACTATTGGATGATTCTTTTGAAGTGGATGAATGAGCTAGTGATGGAATATAATCTGAAATTGGTGTAGGTGTTGGTGGGTTTGATGATGTTATTGTTGATGATAATTGGTGAATAGTTAGGGTGTGGGGAGATAGCAATTGTTGTTGGAGTGTTATAAAATTATCTGGTTCTTCGGAACTTTGAATATTTTCTGGGGAGTTGTTGGTGGAGCGTTCATTATTGAATGGGGAGTATGTTGGGGTTACTTGAGAAGGAGTGTAGGGAGATGTATGTTGGCTATGGGGTTGGATAGATCGGAAAGGGGGTTTTGAGAAGGTTGTTGAGCTGGTCGGAGTGTGAGTAGAGGGGGATGGTTCGGAATCTGCGAACTTATCGGGAGTTTCGATATCAGAATTATTGAATTGTGAAATGGTTGTATAAATTGTGATATCTGAATTAGTCTCAGAATTCATGCCTGATGATGTATAACCTTGTGGTGAATCGGGTGGCGGAAAAAAAGTGGGATAATAGGGAGTGGATTTTGGAGGTTGGCGGGGTGGGAGTTTGATCGGTGGAGTGATCCAACTTGTCTGTTCATCGTGGGCTAAAAAAATGATTTTTTTGAATTTGAAAAGTGGTGGTATGGGGCTGTTCAATGATTTGTTCGTATGTATTGTCAATTGGAGGGTGTTGTGTCACTATATGTTGGATGGGGCTTTGTATATGGCTGGGTCTTATAAGATAATGGATGATGATGCTGTAGATTTGGTAAATGGGGTGCCGTAGGTAATGCATTTGTATTATTATTTGAGTCATTGTATGTGTTGGGATTTGCTGATAGTTTTGTATTATATTTTTTAATTTGTGCATCTAGGAGGATTTTGTTTATTGATGATGAAAATATTCCAAAAAATCCTGCAAATAATATGCGTGCTACGCTGGCTTGTCGGTTTACTTGTGTATGTATTGCGCATGTGTTATATAATCCTTTTAGTAATGAGAAAAGAAATCCAATAAAATTAAACATTGCGTATAAGATAGTCAATCTTTCTAAGATGTAATATGGCCATCCTAGAAAGGCTAAAACTTCGTTTTTTAGATTTACAAAACTAAAAATATTGATTGGTGATACATCTTGTGGTCGGTATTTTTTACCGTTTAAATATATGTAATCTTTGATGTCTTTAAAATATCCGCTGTAGTCTTGTGTATAAGTGTCTGAAAATCCTGCGGTTTCTGCAAGTTTTCTTAAATTTTGATCTATTGATTTTCGTTGTATAATGTCCATTTGTGTTAGTAGTTCTTGAAACTGTTGTGTTCTAATGTGATGTTGTATATCAGATTTAGAATATATACCGATTGATTGTAAATCGATATTTGGGTTGCGAGCAATAGCTCGAATGCTTTCTGATGAAAACTTTTTTAGTGGCTGCATGAGTGTAGGGTATGGTGTAAGTAGATAGTATTTTTCTTCGTCAGGGTTTAATTGTACGACGTTGTGGCTATTTTCTGATCCACATGGGACTGCGGTATCCCAAAATTATGTTCGTCTTGAAAGTGTATCAACAAAATGAACTTTATTTTTGTAGAATATGGGGATTCTTTTGTAACATCTTTTATCTTCAAAAACATATAGTGGTGATACTTTTTTGGTGCAAGTATAAAACCATAAAACGTTTCCCTCATAGTCAAGGAAACTTGATCTTTTTCCGGATAACAAATATCCTGCGTATGGTATTTTAGAACTGCTAATGCGA